GGGTCTGTCTTTGTTAGTACATACAAAACTGAACTCCAGTCCGGGGTTATGGCACATGCCTTTAAGTACGCAACATAGGCAGGTGGAGGTCTGTGAGTTTAAGGTCACCCTAGTCTACATAGTGAGTTCCAGGCTAGCCAGAGCTACATAGTGGGACCCTGTCTCAAAATGAATGAGTGAATGAATTCATTAATAAAGAACATTTCAACTCAGGACTGGAGAGATGACTCAGTGGTTAAGAGCACTGGCTGATATTCCAGAGACCCTGGGTTCAATTCCCGGCACCCGTATGGCAGCTCACAACTGTCTGTAGCTCCAATTCCAGGCGATTGGGGACCTTCATAAATATACATGCAGGGAAAACACCATTGCACACAAAATAAAAATAAATAAATCTTTTAAAAAATATTTTGACTCAAGGATACAGATATGGTTCAGTTGGTAAAGTTCTTGCCTCGTCAGCACAAGGTCCTGAGTTTGAATCCCTAGACGCCCGGGGAAAAGCTGAACATGACAGCACATGCCTTATTCCAGTGATGATGACCGGACTTAGGTGGATCCTTGGGAGTGCAAATGAGAGCTAGCCTGGCCTAAGAAAGACCCTGTCTCAGACAAAAGGTGGGAGGCACCGTTACCCCGGAGGATGTCTTCTGACCTCACATGCTTGCCATGCACACACACCCACACATCCAAAGCCTGACTATGCAGCCAAAGATGATCCTGCTTCCATCTCCAGAGCGCTGGGATCACAGGTACACACCACCATGTCCTGTTCATGCGGAGTTCAGGAATTGAACCCGGGGCCTAGTGCACGCTAGACAGCAACATTATACCAACTGAACTACATCTCCCCAACCCCCAAAGTATTCTTATCTCAGTATGTAGCATTGGGTGGACTGGCACCTGGTGTATGTATATACCAGGCTGGCCTTAAAGTCAAAGAGACCTGTTTCCTAAGTGCTGGGATTACAGGCATGTGTCATCACTCCTGGCTAACAGTGGTTTCTTAAAGCAACTCCCCTGAATTCTCCCAACATCTAGAAGCAGGCAAAGCCGGTATTATTGCAGACCAACAAATTGATTCAGTAAGGCTAAATGACTCACCCACAGTCACATAACAACGTGGATGGGAAACCCTGGCGTGGACATCAACCTTGACTTGAAGCAGTGGTGACCTTGAAGCAGTCATTTTATCTTTCTAGGGCTCATTTCGTGCTGTGCTAAATACAGGTGAAAACACCATCTACTCTCTTGGGCTGGGTATCAAGTGTCATCGCCCCTGGCCGTGTGCGACTCTCTGCTTTTATAGTTATAATTAAACAGCACTTAGGCTGCCGGTCACAGCTCATTAGCTAGTGAATACATAGTAGACAGTGTTGATACAGAACAGTGCTGCTCCCAGGCTGCAACAATACAAGGCCTTGGAATCTTGAGGCAGGGTCCAGTCCACACAGCCACGTGACTTCAGGCAACTTAAGTTCCCTTTCCAGCTTCAGTTTCCTCATCAGTGACAAACAATTTCTACCAGTCCCAGATACTTAGGGCTGTGAATGAGGACTGAGTCACTCTTTGTTTTACAGTGTCTCAGCTTGGCCAGGTCATCATAGCACCAGGGAGGCTGAGGTAGGGAAATTGCAGTGAGTTTGAGGCCAGCCAAGGGTAACCTACATAGCAAGATCCTGTCTCAAATATCAACACCAAACAAGGCCTGAATGTAGTGTCAATCTAATTGGCCTTAATAATAAAACCCAAAGCCAGGTGTTGGTGGTGCACACCTTTAATCTCAGCACTTGGGAGGCAGAGGCAGGCGGATCTCTGTGAGTTCGAGACCAGCCTGGTCTACAGAGTGAGTTCCAGGACAGTCTCCAAAACAATACAGAGAAATCCTGTCTTGAAAAACCGGAAAAAAAAACAAAACAAAAACCCGGAAGTCAGGTATTAGGGGGTGAAAGCTGAAAGATCAGAGAAGTAAAGGAGCCAGACACTCAAGGTCTTATCTCTATGAATCCTCAGACTGGAAAGGATGGAGCTCCTGCCTCCTGCCTTACATTCCTCTCTCCCCCCAGCCATATCACTTCCTGCGTCCACCTCCGTAGTGCTGGGATCAAAGGTGTGAGCTGTTTGTGGTGGGGGTGGGGGTGGGGTGGGGGTGGGGGTGGGGTGGGCAAATAACGGGGAACAGACCGCTGAAGTCTATGAAACCAGAAGCAAACTTTATTTCAAAAAAAGGAAAAAAAAAATCACCGCGGGGCACAAAAAGCCTACCAGTCAACTGGGACCACAGCCAGACCTTCTGAAACTTGGCAATGGGGACTGGTTTAGGGCCTCTTACAGTAAAATCCAGCACCACCTGGTGTGGGTCAAAGAGCTTTTACAACCTTGAGGCCAGGCTTAAAGTCACATTACATTTTGAGTTTTACAGCTTTTGGCTACAGGATGTTAGGATGTTTGTGAAAGCCTGTGTCTGAAACAGCTGCTTTTTGCTGTCCCTGAAAGAATGCAAGGCAGAGAGTAGAGAGTCATGGAGGAGGACACTTAAAAATTAAGGGAATACAATGCAGAGGGTCCCATAGAGGCGGTAGTTAGACACTAACCATTGTCTACCCTACCTGCCTAGCTGGGAAGCTGGGAGGCAAGAGACCAGTGTTCAAAGTTTACCTCTGTGCACAGTGACTGCCAGGGTGTCTGCTCTTAAGGCGGAAAGTGGTTGTTAAGGGCTAACAGTGGCTCCTAGCCACTGTTATTTGGGATTACAATTTTACATTTCTATATTCCTGGACCCTTTAAGCTTTGTTTCTCTTAGACTGGTTAAATCTCAGGTAACCCAGGGTGGCCTTGAACTCCAGATTTCCTGCTTCCACCTCCCAAGTGCTGGGGTGAAAGGTGTGTGCCATCACTGCCCGGCCTCTATGGTTAACTGGTGGCTAGCTCCACCCTCTGAGGGCAAGCTGTGTTAGAGCACAAACAAAGTGTCACCACACCTGAGTTTGAGTTATAAAATCCACCTAAAAACCAGAGTTTAGAGGCAATGGCTTGTAATCCCAGCACTGGGGAAGACACAGACAGATGCCTAGAGCTCACTGCCCAGACAGCTTGGCATGTCACAGGAGCTTCAGGCCAATGAGAGATTCTGACTCCAAACAACACTGTGGATGAGTTTAACTCCAGCCTCCACATGCATATATTCATACACCCCTACACACATGTGCATCTTTGCCCATGCAAGCACACACACAAACACGCACGCACACATGCCATGAGGTGTTGGGAATGGAATGGGGCTTTATACATGCTAGGAAAGGGCTCTACATCTTCAGCCCAGCATTCCAATGTCCTTCCTTCCTTCCTTCCTTCCTTCCTTCCTTCCTTCCTTCCTTCCTTCCTTCCTCTCTTTTCCCTTGTTGAGAAAGGATTTCTCTGTGTAATAGTCCTGGCTGTCCTGGAACTCACTGTAGACCCGGCTGGCCTGGAACTCACAGGGATCTGCCTGCCTCTGGCTTCTGAGTGCTGTCATTAAGGGAGTGGGCCACCAACCTGGCTAGCTTTTCTTGTGTGGGTGACTGCATGCCAAGGAGTACATGTGGCGGTCAAAGGACAACCTGTGGAAGTTCCTCTGTCATGCGTGCCCTAGGGGGTCAAGCCCAGTCAGTCAGGCTTGGTGGCAGGCGCCCTTACCCACACTTGAGCCATTTTGCCAGCCCTGTTTTAATTTTTTGAATAAGCTTTGTATCTGACAGGGAGTAAACGTTGTTGAATGTTGTTAGATAAAACAAACCATTACTCGCCAGAACATTGGCATTCTTTTTTTTGTTTTGTTTTTGTTTTTTCGAGACAGGGTTTCTCTGTATTGTTTTGGAGACTGTCCTGGAACTTGCTCTGTAGACCAGGCTGGCCTCGAACTCACAGAGATCCGCCTGCCTCTGCCTCTCGAGTGCTGAGATTAAATGCATGCGCCACCAATGCCCAGCCACATTGGCATTCTTGGCAAACGAAAGGTAGCAGGCTGAAAGAAAGGGGCTCCAAAGACAAGAGCCACTCAGGGATGCACACCTGGGCAATGGCAGCTACCTAGAAAGATGACAGGTGGAACTGGAAGGCTGACACTTGACCCATTTCTCTCCTACAGGTTTCAGATCTACTCCAATCAGTCTGCGCTGGAGTCTCTGGCAGTGAGTTGGGAATGGCTGTGGGTGGGTCCAGGCCTTGGGGCAGACAGCAGCTTACAGAAACCCACCACCCATGCATGCGATGCTGTGTTCTTTTTCCTTCAGCTGATCCCACTGCAGACCCCACTGAAGACATTGTTGCAAATCGGTGTGATGCCCATGCTTAATGGTAGGGGCTGAGGATGTGAGGAAGGAAGGAGGGAGGACGGGGCTCAGCTGGAGGGACCCCGGCTGAGCTTGCCTCTTCCACACAGAGCGGACCTGGCGTGGGGTGCAGATCCCCCTCCCGGAAGGCATCAACTTTGTTCGTGAGGTGGTGACCAACCACGCAGTAAGTAGACTGTGGGCGGGGAGGATGCACCCCAGTGCTGTTTGCTCTCCAAAGCCCCTTCTCCACCAGTTGTTCCTATGTATTTATTTATTTATTTATTTTAAGGTAGTAAGGGATTTTATTCAGAAACAAGCCGAGGTACAGAGGAGACACACTGCAAAGGAGCTGGGGCCGCTGATTTGCCAAGTCTTTTTGTGTTTGTTTGGAAAGGCTGTCTCCAAATTACTGCAGGAATGAGTGACACTCCCTGTCCCCTCCCCAGGGCTTCCTCACCGTTGGGGCTGACCTCCACTTTGCCAAAGGGCTTCGAGAAGTGATTGACAAGAACCGTCCTGCGGTCATTGTGGACTCCAGTGTCCCTCCAGCCTCTGCAGCAGCTGCCTGAGTCCTTTGTCCCACACAGGCAGCTGGCCTTCAGGACATTCAGAGTTCTCTCAGTAGCAGCCTATCCCCCTTCCCATCCATAACCTGTAGTATCCCCAGTGCCACAGAGAAGAATTCTGTTTGAAGCTATGCCGGATTTAATTTCATAATCAGTCAGCCATCAATTACAATCCATCCACCCCTCTCCTTGGGCTGCCCTAGAGCTCTGTTGGGGTCCTGGGATGGGGCATTCATTAAGCAGGTTGTGGGGAGGTCAAGCCACCACACTGTCAGGGGAACAAAGTGCTCACTGCCCCAGGCTGTCTCTGTGAATCCCTGAGGCCCAGGCTGGGACGCACAGGGCTGCGAGAGGCCAGGGATAGTGTTAGCGCAGGACCTGCCCCACAGGGGCACTCTGTAAGGTGGGACAGCTCTCCACCGAGAGAGAGGCTGGGAGAGGCTGGGTCAGGTACTGAGGACTTCCATGGGTCCCCTCAGTAAGGCTCCTTGTTCAGGAAACGAGAGAACATGGTGAAGGCGGCTCGAGGTTTGTCCGTGGGGACCATGTGTCCAGCGCCCTGGGGAGCAAAGCTTTGTGAGGCTTGGATCCCCAATACTTATGATGACCCTTTGCCCCTGGGACTTCACCCCAAGACCTTTATTCTTCCCCGCTTCACCCTGAAAGCTTGTCCTGATGCTCTAGTGGTGTCCCAGAACAAACAGAAGCCAGAGGGTAAAGATGGGAGGTCCTACCACTGTCCCTGTGGCCTCAGCTGTCCCTCGGGGGGCTGAGTCCTACCTTGAGGGTGATGAAGGTAATGTGGGAGAACTCCTTCACGAAGCCGGCTACCTGCTCTCCACTCTCCCCGTAGTTCACTAGCCAGGGCCGACGCTGCACCTCCATCTGTCCATGGGGAGAGACATCAGCCAGCGGCTCCCACCATCCTCGCTTATGGCTGCCCTCAACATCTCAGGACTGGAGAGTCATCTCCAGGTGTGCCTCTGCAGACTAGAGCTGCTCCGGGCACACCCGCCTCCGCCCCCGCGCCCCCCCCCGCACAACCCTACCTTCTGGTTGAGGGAATCCACAAACCACTCATCCCCCATGAAATTGCAGGCCATGTCCACATCGCCATTGTACAGCAGGATTTGGTATTTCTGGAGTAGGAGAAGGGGAAAACAGAAGTGTGGGGTAGGCACAGGCCCTCAGCCCTTCCCTGGGAATTCAGAAGCCCAGCTAATAACAGTAACTTGAAATTCACATTTTCCGCTTGCATACTACACAGTAAGCACCAAGCAGGTGCTTTTACTATACAGGGAGGAAGACACTCCCATCCTCCAAATGAGACAGTCTTATCATGGGGCCCAGACTGGCTTAGAAATTGAGGTTTCTCCTCGGTCTCCCCAAGGCTGGGCTTATAGGCATGAGTCACCAAGCCCAGCTTATTAGTCTCATTTTACAGACAGGGAAACCACAGCTGAGAATGTATGACACTTTCCCAGAGCTGGGCGTGTTGGCACAACTGTAATCCCAGTACTGGAGAGTTTGAGGCTGGATTGCTGTGTTCAAAGCTAGCCTGGGCTATGGAGCAAGTCAGAGCCTCAGAATAAGAACATAAAACAACCAGGGTGTGGTGGGTTGAGCCCTGAAGAGGCACCCCACTTGACATGTTGCTCTAGAGCCTACAGCTACGATGGAGGAAAGCCTTGGAAGCCCTGGCTGGAGCCTGCTGAGCTACACCCACATACCTGTGAGCTGAGCAGCTTCAGGTACTGGGAGTTCATGCTTTGATAGAGACGGCGGTACTGTAAGTTCACCACGAGGCTGCCAGGAGTGCATGCACAGGACACGGAAAACAAAAACAAAAACAGGAACATAGGGGGACAGTCAACAGTCAGACCTTTCCAATTCCCCACTTTGGGTATCTCCCCTCTCTGGCACTTACCTGAACGGAACTGGCATTCAGAGATTCTCAACCCACCTAAACTAAACTTGGGAGATATGTGGGCGCATCTTTTGGTTGTTACGATGGCTGGGGTATGGCTGGCATTTAGTGTGTGGGGACCAGAAGGTGTGACAGTAACAGCAGGAAATGAAGGAGTAGAGAGAGCATGGGCACTGACCAATCAGGAAAGACTTCGCTAGACTTTGATGAGCTAGCGTTACCCCTTTACTTGCAGGGGTCACAGAATGAACTGAGCAGCTCTGGGTGGCAGTGGAGTGGCAGATGGGACAGTGCCTACTCACTAAATGTCAGAAAAGGGTCTGATATTAACCGGCGTGGCAACTTCCAAGTTGATTGTCTTGAATGTCAATCGAGATGGAGGTCAAGGCCATTAAACACCCTGCACAAGCTAATTTTCACCCTGAAAGTCCACACCACCTGCTCTGAGGAGCCCTGGCTGCAGGACCCTTGTGAACCCTGTGGATGCCACCTCCTGAGCCGTGAGTGGCCACAGAAGCTTACTTGCACATGTCCCAGCGGGGCAGCTTCTCAGGGATGTGGAGGGCCTTCCGAACATACGGGTTGTTGAGGTAGGTGGAGGGGGCTGTGGTGTTGGTGCAGGGGGGATCCATGCGTACCTTGTTCCCAGAACGCAACAGCAGTGCCTGGGAGCACGGACACAGGGTGAGGGCCTTTACTTGTCTGCCCTGCCTATTCCCCTGGGGAAAGCCCATGCCCTGCCATACCTGATGAAATGGCCGCTTGAGTGGCAGGCGAGTGAAGATGTTGCCAAAATCCTGGATCACAACAGTGTCCTCATATCTGGGGGGGGGGGGGGAGGAGATGGGTGCTGGGCCTCTAGAGGTAGTTGGGATTGCCCCAGGGCATAACTAGCAGTACCTACCTATCAGTGCCGGGCACCCCACCAGCACACGGGGCGTAGAGATTGTATATGTTGAGGCCAGAGTTGCTCACAATTCGAGACACTTCCTGGAGCTGTGACAACATACCATCATGTTTTCTGGATCCACGGCCCTCCATGACCTTACCCACTCGCCCTAAGATAGACTGTTCTCCTACCCCATCTCCTGTCACCACCCTTCACCCACTTTTTTTTCACAGGTACAGAGCCCAAAGCTCACTGGAAGCAATCTTCCAGACCCGGGTCCAACCCTAGCGCAGCTGTTCCCTGCCATGTGACTTAAGGCAAGTGGCTTAAGCATCCTTGGCTTCAATTTCCTCACTGGATTTCTCAGAGACCACAGAATTGGGAGGTTGGGGACAGAATGGCTGTGGGGTGAGCTGGAGCTAGAGCCCGGCTGGTAGACTGCTGTCTTGCATGCATGCCTGAGGCCCTGGGTTCAATCCCCAGTTCTATCAGGAAGAGATGCAACGGAGCTGGAGAGCTAGGGGTTCCCAAGAAGAGGTGTGAGCCTCATCTCAGTGAGGAAGGGCTGACACAGAAAGGGGCAGAAACTCACGCTGTTTATGCATTCTGGGTCTTTGTTGTCATAGAAGTTGCACTTGTTCTGAGAGCAGCAGTGGGTCTGGAGCAAAGTCCAAAGCCTGTAGACCAGAAAGTGTTCAGGCTGAAGGTGGGCAAAGGCGCTAAGAAATGCAGGGTGGGTCCTCCTCCCTCCAGCCTCTCATCAGACCCTTCCCCAGGGGAAAAGGAAGGTAAGACGGGGTATGGTATGTAGGCTATCAAAGCCAGTTCCCAAGAACCTGCCCCCAGTCTATACAGACAGCCCTCCTCAGGGCCTTTTTAAAAAGGAAATAAAAAGTGTTTTTGAGACGGGTTTTTGTGGGTAGTCTGGGTTCAAGTCACTGGCTTACTGATCACCATGCCCAGTCTCCTTGCTTTCTTTAAATCTTGGTCTCCGTTCTTGGCCTTTAAGCATCAAACCCTTTGGCCAACCCTACCTCCTCATAAACCAGAGCAGGAATGTCATGTGCCAGTGGACAGATCTGAGATCTCATGACTTGCCCCACCCTAGATATTGCCCAACTGTCCCTCTCTCATACCTGTTCCCCAGAAGACCATGGTAGTAGGCAAAATAAACCAGAGAGTTGTCGTTCTGTTCATAGGACGAGAGCCCATTGCCCACAGCCAGCCCCTGTGAAACACCCAGGGTTCTCAGTTCATCGGAAGGGTGAGAAGGACCCTCCCTTGACCTACACCCAGACGGGCAATCTAGAAGCTCAAATCCAGAGCGGTTTGTGGGGGTAGGTGGGGGAGGTCATTCAACCTAAGGAACATATGTGGCAGCCTGGCAGGTAAGCTTTCTGTCGTAGGAGGCATGCACGATGACAGAGTAGCCAACTACAAGGCTATGAAGGAGCGCCTAGGCTGACCTTACTAATCCAAGGTCATGGCCCCAAGTGTCTGCCTTCCCTCCTGCTGCTGCCTTGTACCTGAAGGTTCATGCTGGGATCCTGCATGACCAGTACAGCCAGGGTGGGGATGTAGATGCCAGCATAGCTCTCTCCGGTCAGGAAAAGTTTGTTGTCCTTGTACTCCGGAAAGAGGCGGAAGAAATCTTTAAGGGCTTCATAATTGTTCTGAGCCACCTAGGGATGGTGAGATGGAGGAGTCAGGAGACCTGATGTTTAAACTAGAAATATATTCAGAGGTAATGAGTCCAACCCACTTTATTTTGTGTAAGAGGAAGTGACTCTGTTATGAGCCTACCACAGAGTACATGCCAGAGCCAAAAGTGGACTCTGAGGCCATGCTCTCTCCCCGCATCGTGCCAGCTTTGGGGAAACAGAGGATGGCGCCGGTGGACGGGTGCCAGACTCACCTCCGTGTCATTGGTCACATATGTCTTGTCATCCGAGTAGGAAAAGCCCACTCCTGCTGGGGACTCAATATACAGCATGTTGGCGATCTAGAGGGGAGGAGGGAATGAGAAGAGGGTTCCCCACCCCTTCAAGTACCGAGACACCCCAAGACCCACAGCGGCAGGTGTACCAGGTTCCAGGAGTAGGGGTTGTACTTCAGGGTGATGCCATCTGGCTGGATCTGGGGAGGAAAGACACAGCTGTGTGAGTCCCAACAGGCAGCTGGGTGGAAAGAGCCATAGTGCTAGGCTCTTCACATATTGCCACACTTCCTAAGAGGTACAGAAAGGTAGGTCAAGGGTCAGATAAAACACAAAATAGAGTTGGGGTTTGTTTTTTTGAGACAGGATTTCTCTGTGTAGCCCTGGCTGTCCTGGAACTCGATTTGTAGACCAGGCTGGCCTCGAACTCAGAGATCCACCTGCCTCTGCCTCCCTGAGTTTAAGGTTATGCTCCACTACCACCCGTATCAAAATAGAATTGTTAAGAAGGAAAAGAAACTTGCGAAGCCACAGATTCCTTCCTCTTTCCCTCCCTGTCTCCTGCCCTCTCTCAGCGGGGGAAAACAGGAGTCAACTCACCAGGAAGGGGCCGTGCTCTGTAAGGAGCCCATCTAGAGAGCTGCAGCCAGGACCCCCGTTGAGCCAAAGCACTACCGGGCTGTTCTTTGGGTCTTTCTGCGACTCCACAAACCTAGGAAGGGCACAGAGAGGGATCGATGCAAGTAAGAGACTCTGTCCTGCCTGTGGTTGACAGAATTCGTCCGCCCAGTTATCATGCCCCCCTCGGGAGGCAGGGCGGCACACCAGTAATGGAAGTGCTTGTTATCCGAGGCTCTGAGGTAGCCGGAGTACTGCTGGAAATCGGGCTGCTTTTCCAGGCCGGGGAGGCAATCGATTTCATCCTGGTCTGGAGCTGCTTCGCCCCGGGACACCCAGGACACAAGTAGCAGCAAGAGGAGTGGGGACAGCGCGGCTCGGAACATCTGAGAGAGGAAGCATCGGCAGAGGATGTTTACCAGCTCCCCTGCTCATCTGCGCTTCCGTGCAGCAGTCCCTGGGGAGGAGCTGGCGAGCATCTCCCGGGGAAGCCCCCACCCGGGTCCATCTCCCCGCCGACCGCAGAGCCACGACCGCTGCCCATCAGCCCGGGAATCTTCTTACCTCTGCTTCCTTGCGTCCTTGCTCTCCAGGAGGCGCCGGTGGACTGGAAGTCATGTGTAGCCCTAGTCACGTGAACTTTTGCATCACGTGACAGCTTGCTCATGTTCACTTTTTTTGCGGCTTGAGGGTCCGGAGCGGTCAATTACCAGTTCAAAGTACACAGCCCCGAGGATCATTAGCCAGGGTGCCAGAGATCAGATGGCCTCGGTGTTGGCAGCAGGGTTTCCCAGGCTCCTGGGGACTTGTTACTGGGGAGACGCCGAGAAAGCGGCGCTAGGACCCCCGGGCGGATCGGAGGTTAGGTAGGCAAGGGGGAAATGCCTTACATGGTCCCCCCCCCCCCGCGGTCACCATCTGAGCCCGCCGCCCAAAATAGCCCTTGGCATGAGCCGGCTTGTCTCCTGGCGAGGAGATGGCTGCTGCCTCCGAACCCGTAGGGTTGGGTGGCCCACGGGGCCCTGCGCGCCCGGAGCCCCCTCCCACCCGCTTCCACCAAGTGCACGGATCCAACATCCGCGTGGACCCGTCGGGGACGCGGGCCACACGTGTGGAGAGCTTCGCCCACGGTGTGTGCTTCAGTCGAGAGCCCCTAGCCCCGGGCCAGGTATTCCTAGTGGAGATAGAGGAAAAAGAGCTGGGCTGGTGCGGGCATCTGCGTCTCGGCCTGACCGCTCTGGACCCGGCCAGTCTGGCCTCAGTGCCCGAGTTTTCGCTGCCTGACCTGGTCAGCCTTGGCCACAGCTGGGTCTTCGCTATCACACGCCACCACAACCGCGTGCCTCGGGAGGGTCAAGCAGATGCAGAGTCAGCGGCCCCCAGCCGCCCCCAAGCCCTCCTGGTTGAACCCTATCTGCGCATCGAGCAGTTCCGAATACCCCGGGACCGCCTGGTGGGCCGCAGTCGGCCGGGGCTCTATAGCCACCTCTTGGACCAGCTCTATGAACAAAACGTGCTGCCTCCTACAGCGCGCCGTAGCCGCCTGGGTGTTCTCTTCTGCCCGCATGAGGATGGGACCGCCGACATGCACATCATCATCAACGGGGAAGATATGGGCCCCAGTGCCCGGGGACTGCCATGTGCCCAGCCTCTCTATGCTGTGGTTGATGTGTTTGCCTCCACCAAGAGCGTGCGCCTGGTCCAACTGGAGTATGGCTGTAGGTATTCCACCCTTGGGTAGTGACCTCCTGGCTCAGTGTAGGGACAGGCACCTGCTAGAACCCCACAGCCAGCTATCAAGGCCTTAGACTGTCCCGCGCTAGTCAGGGTGTCATGCGTGCAAAGCGAACGCTCTTGCTGTGCCGCACCCCACCCTTCAAGATGGGGATTTTAGACCTGGGGCTTCTTGAGAGTTTTGTGCACTTAATTTATTTTTGGTTTTTGAGACCAACTTACTCTGTACCTCAGGCTGGTCTGGAACGTGGTCATTGAGGCCGGCCTCAAACTTTCAGACAGCCCTTTCTGCCCCAGCCTGCTGAGGTCAGGGATTAGATTCATAAGCCACCACGTTCAGCTATGAGTTGTCTTTCTTAGAAAAAACGTTCACAGCTTTGGACTTAGCAGTTTAGAGTCATCACAGACCTCAGGTTGTGAGCTTTTCATTTCTGAGCTCTGGCTCATTGTAGCCCAGTAAACCTTTCACTTAACACCCCTGTGGGTCATGGATTTATTGAGCTAGGCACTGGGCTGTGGTTGCATAGTCACATCAGACGTGCAGCTGCCCAGTCAAGGGAGAAGGAGTTAGACTGCATTATAATGGAAGTAGGTCTTTTAGGAGTTACACTGCATTATAATGGAAGTAGGTCTTTTAGGAGTTACACTGCATTATAATGGAAGTAGGTCTGTTCAAAGTCTCAGAAGGAGAGGTGTAGGTCAGTTGTACAAGCAGCCCCACCACGCATGCTGAGCCTGAGAGCAGAAAGCAGTTGCTGGTTGATAGCAAGTAAGGGACTAAGATGTAGATCTTCTCAGCCCTGGTGTCGCCTGCCCCAGATGAGTTTGCCTTTGACAGTCATTTCTCCACAGTGCCGTCTCTGCAAACTCTGTGCCGACTGGTGATCCAGAAGAGTGTGGTGCACAGGCTGGCCATCGATGGGCTCCACCTGCCCAAAGGACTGAAGGACTTCTGCAAGTACGAATGAACGCCCATGGCCCCCGGAGCAAAGCCACAGAAGAGCATCCCGCCTGTCTCCAGAGCACTGGCCACAAGGCTGATGATCAGGGCCAGGAATAAATAGCCGAAGTAGGTGTGCTGAGCACTGGAGGGTCTCCTTGCCTCTGCAGCCTCCGGAGAGGCACTTCCAGAGTCACCATGTCGAAGAAGAAAGTGCTTTAGAACCTGTCTAGATCAGGGCTCTCTAGTGTGCACATGCCTTTGAATTATCCAGGACGCTTGGTGAGTGCCAACGTACCGCACATGCTCCTCCATATTCTCCCTTGGTTTGTGGCAATGAAACCCAGTCACCAGGGCGTTTTGTGTTGTCTTGATTTAGACAAAGTCTTGCCTGCAGCCTAGGCTGCCCTTAGATCCCCAGATTCTGAGATTATGGGTGTGAGCCTCCGTGCCTGACTCGACACTGTTTTTGTAAAAAGTTCCTTCACAGATTCTAATACATGGTCAGAGTGGAGAAACATTTCATTAGATCAGAGGTTTCACCTTTGGAAAAGATTGTATTTACTGTTTTGCTTTTGCTTTGTTTGAAACAGGGTCTTACTCTATAGTACGGGCTGATCTTGAACTGTGGCAATCCTATCTCAACTTGAGAGCTGAGAGTCCAGGCATGGCCTACTGGTTCTGGCTCTGTCTTTTGCAGTACTGGGGATTGAGTTTGGTGCCACATGCTTGCTAGATGAGCGCTGTGTCACCAAGCCACAGTCCCCAGCCTCCCCCCAACGCTTTAAAGATGGGGTCTCAATACGTGGCGCTAGCTGGTGTTAAACTCCCAAAGATCTGCCCCCTTTGCCTCCTGAATGCTGGGATTAGGGCGTGTGTGCACCACCACGCCCAGCTGCCAGCCCTCTTTTTATTAATCAATTTAGGACAGAGTCTAAGGTGCCCATGCTGGCCTTAAACTTGTGCCTCAGCTTCCCAGGTAGCTGGAATCCAGGCTTGTCCCATCTGGCCTGACAATAATGTCTTCAGGAATTTAAAGGTATTAGTTGATCTAGGATGGAGCAGGGGCCCTAGTGTTGTTCAAAGCCTCCCAGAGCCTTTGCTGACCACCAGTGACTTGGACCAATCATGCCATTTTCCAGAGGGAAAACAAACCAAGAGGTAAGAATATATTTGTGTAAGGACAAATAGCAAATTTTTTTTTTTTTGAGACAGGATTTCTCTGTGTAGCCCTGGCTGTCCTGGAACTCATTCTGTAGACCAGGCTAGCCTCCAACTCAGAGATCCACCTGCCTCTGCCTCCTGAGTATATGAGCCACTATGCTTGGCTCTAGCAAATGATTTCAAAACAAAACAGCAAAACACAGTCTTCCAGAGGTCCTGAGTTCAATTCCCATCAATCACATAGTGGCTCACAACCATCTTTAAAGGGATCTGATGCCCTCTTCTGTCAAACAGGCACACATGTAAATAGAGCACTTAACTACATAAATAAATCTTGGAAGAAAAAAAAAAAGCAGGGTCACCCTTACTCCACGTTGCCTTCAAACTTGCCATGAAATGGAGGATGACCTTAGATTTCCGGTCCTCCTGCCTCTATCACCTGAATGCTGCGGTTGCAGACATGGGCCCCATGCTCAGTGTAGGTGGTAGGGAATGAATGAATACCTTGACTCATACTATAAGGGACAAAGCACTGAACTCACTTATTTGTATCTCTGATCATTAGCTTTTACAGGGACAATCTCATCTTACCCTGACAACTGGTGAGGTAAGGGGCAGTGTCACCCCTATTTTGCAGACGAGGATATTGAGGAACAAAACTGTCTAGGTAAAGCCAGGTGTGGTGGCACACACCTATATTCCTAAAACCTAGAAGGCTGGGACAGGAAGATCAAAGGTTTGAGGCCAGCCACACAGAAACAAACAAACAAACAAACAAACAGTCTGGGTTTGGTGGTTTGCACCTTTGATCTCAGCAAGCAAGCAGGGGACCTCAGGCCTGGAACAGGAAGTAGACCACAGGGAGTCCCAGTCAGCCAGAGCTATGTAGTTTGATCCTATCTCAAAAAACAAACAACAAAAAGCAAACAGCTAGAATGTAGGTCTTTTTTTTTTTTTTTGGTTTTTCGAGACAGGGTTTCTCTGTGTAGTTTTGGAGGCTGTCCTGGCACTTGCTCTGTAGACCAGGCTGGCCTCGAACTCACAGAGATCCGCCTGCCTCTGCCTCCCAAGTGCTGGGATTAAAGGCGTGCGCCACCAACATAGAATGTAGTTCTGAGGCAGCGTTCACTACTAACATTTGCTGGATTCCATCCCCAGCGCCAGACAAAAGCAAACAAAAACACCTGTTAAAGTTGATCTTGACCAAGATAATGACAAGGGCCCAGAGCATCCTGACCCTGGTCCAGTGCCCATTTAGCCCCCTCCCATTGTGACATACATGTTCTATAATGAACAGGTCAGTATTGTGAGGTAGGGTCTGGTGTAAAGGGGACTATGAGGTGACCCTGTAGAAAGCTGGAGAGTAGGGCAGGAGGAATAGGGCTATTCCTTCACAAACAGGGACTTTGGGGCAGCCATGTCCTACTTCATGTCGCCACAAACTCATCTGGGGCTTCTGCCTTCTGGCCAAGGTGAGAGGGGATCCTGGAACTGGAGGGGCCACCACAGCTTCCCAGGTGAAGTTGCTGCCTGGCTTTGGGGAGGAGGCTCTGCTGCATGCTTTTGGGCTGACCGTGGAATCAATTTTCTTGGAAGAAAAGATATCCAAAAGACCTTGCCAATTACTAATTACCCACTTGCTCACTTATTTAACAAACACTTCCCCATCACCTGCAGTATTGGGTTATGGATATGAGTAACATTTACATTCCCAACCTCTGAATCCTCTGGGGCTGGTTCTGATTGCCCCTGCTCCCAGGCCCTGCCCCTCAGGGCCTCTTCCTCCTAGAGACCAAGAATAACATTCCATCTCATTCCTGTCTCTGCAGGTGGGGCTGCTGCTTCAGGTTCGTCCCTTGGTCTCTATAGTTCTGCAGAGCCAGTGGTGGTGGCATCTGGTGGATTAGGTCCATTCAGCCAGAAAGCTGAGCAGGTGGTACCTGCTGCCCAGGCCTGGGGCCCTCCCTTGGCAGTGCCTGAAGCCAGGGGCTGCTCTGGGGGTGCTAGCTGGGAGACACCGCGGAGGAAGGAACACAACCGATACTGCCCCAAATTGCCCCCCATGAGGCAGCTGGAGAACTTGGGCTGGGCAGACCCCTGCTCCCGAAGCAGAGCTCCCCACTTGGGTGGCCCTAGCAGGCCCCGGCCCCTGCTGCTGTGTGGGCTGTCACCAGGGGTTCTGACGATGGCCTCCGAGGCAGGTGGGAAGGAGGCTGGCTCCCAGACTGACATCTGCATCCTAACCCTAGCCATGATGATCGCTGGCATCCCCACCGTGCCTGTTCCAGGCCTGCGGGAAGAGGACCTGATCCGGGCAGCTCAAGCTTTCATGATGGCCCATCCAGAGCCAGAGGGAGCTGTGAAGGGGGTGCAGTGGGAACAGGCACATGCCCACATGGCCTCTGGACAGATGCCTCTAGTGAGATCCAGGAGGGGCTCCTGCTTGTAGCCAGATGAAATAGCATGAGATGCATAGGGCGGCTTCTCCGTATGGTTTTTGGGCAGATAGGGTTGGGGATGGCTATGGCAGGGATGGGAAGAGGGTGTGGTAACTGAGCCATCCTGATAAATTGCTTTGTTAGGACCACCCCCCAGGAAGTCCTTGATACCACTAAGAGAGATAGTTGACCAGGTTAAATCAAGTAACTTAGGTGGGAAGCCCTGTTTAGAGAGTAGAGGCTAATTTTATATTGAGGAACCTGAGAAGTTTTTGTCTAAAGTTCTAGACAGTTTGGATTTTCTTTTTGCCTTGTGTCCCAGCTTCCAGAAGACAGATGGGAATGCAGGCAAATGATGGAAAACGCTCGGCTGAGCAAACCCTACAAATACAGACAAATAGAAACCTATTCTTTTTTTTGGTTTTTCGAGACAGGGTTTCTCTGTGGCTTTGGAGGCTGTCCTGGAACTCACTTGGTAGTCCAGGCTGGTCTCGAACTCACAGAGATCCGCCTGCCTCTGCCTCCCGAGTGCTGGGATTAAAGGCATGCAAGCCACCAACGCCCGGCTCCTATTCTTTTTTTTAATATGACCAACCCTGTGAGGATGCCCATTTTATAGATAAACTGAGGCTTAGAGAGCTGCTTGCTTGGAGTCTCACAGCTAGTAGAGGCAGGAGCAGATAGAAACCATGGCGGGTAAAAGAACCGGAGCAACACTCACATGTAGCCCCGCCCTGCCAATTCTCTTCCTTTCAAGGCCCATATGAAACACACAAGACAAGTACGGGGTACAACCGTCACTTTATTGATCCTAGGGTGGAGCAGGAAGACCTGGGAAGCCTGGCTGAGCCACCACAGCAGCCTCTTTCAGAGAGTCCTTGAGCTCTATTTTCCCTTATGAAAAAGTTGTCAAAACCGAAGCCAGATTGTACAACAGGGACTGTATTCGATCATCAAAGTCCACAATATTTACTACTGAGTCCTTAACAGAAAACATTTTCTGACATGTTTTATGGAGCTTGACACATTCTAGACAGAAGGCTGGAGTGGAGCAGAAGACTTCACTTCTGGAAGGGAGTGTAACTGTGTGTGTAGAGGGATGTGAATGTACATATGTACATGAACATTTTAGGGCATCGACATAATCAGAAGTTGAGCCTGGTGACACAGGCCTATAATCCCACTTACTCGGGGCTGTTAGGAGGGTCACAAGTTCAAAGCCAGCCTGTCTACAGAGTGAGTTCAAGACTAGCCTGGGCAACCTAGTGAGAGTATCTCAAAATAAAAAGAGGCAGTGGTCAGCACTTGGGAGACAGAGGATCAGGAGTTCAAGGCCAGTCTCAGCTATGTAGTGAGTTTGAGGCCAGCATAGGCAACCTGGTGAGAGGCTGTCTCAAAATAAGAAATAAAAAGAGGCAGTTGAAGAGTATCTGCCTAGCATATGTACTGTTCTGGGTGCAGTTCCCCAGTGTTGGGTATGGATGTGTGATTAGAGCTGGACCTGCTCGTAAGGGCCAATCCAGCTGTCGGCTAGTTCCCGAAGGGTGCTATAGCGACGCTCAAATTCCTCCTTGCTACAGTGCTGCAAGAGCCGGCCTACCTCCTCAGTGAGGAGAGTCACGGCCAGGTGCTTATCCAGGGTGGCACTCCACTTGCTTCCCAGGATGCTGTCTAGACTGGCGGCACAGCCTGAGGTCCACTGAGCTTGCAGCATGTCAGGCTGGAGCACCTGGTGTCGGGCACTGAGCATGGCTAGGATGTGGCGGCAGGGCAGGTGGAAGGCTTGGTTAAAGTAGCAGCTGCAGCTGGCAGGGGCCTGGGGCTGTACATTGTGTGTATCCTCCAGAATCTGAATGTTCACTTTTTCTGAGCCAGAGCCAATGAGGTGCATGGATTTCTGGACCACGGCGAGCTCGCCTAGGCAGAGTTGGGCTGCTGGCCCTGTGCAGATGGCATTGAGGGAATGCTGGATCCGGGCTTCCACTAATTGCTCCGTGCTGGGGCTTTCGAGGATGGCATCTGAAGGAGTGTGATTGTCCTTGGGAGCCACAGCCAGGTTGAGGCTTGCTTTGTCAGAATGGTTCTGCTGCATGTACCGGAACACAGATGCCATGCCTTGTTTCTCAAATGGGGTGGTGCCAAAAAACTGACTGAGGAGGTGGGCTGTGATCTCTAGGCTCTGGAAGTATCGGTTGCTCTGGGCTCGGCTTCTCCAGCGGTGGGCCAGCCAGATGCGGTCATTGAGCAGCCAGTGTGAGTGGAGCTCCGGCAGTCTGGTGGAGGGGATGCAGTTGCTCAGGAGTGTGTAGAGCTTCCTCAGGTTGCCAGCTGTGGCTGAGCACATTGTGCTCTGCAGGGAGGACAGAAGCACATTTTGGACCGGCTTCTCCAGGGAGAGCTGATAGAATTTCCCCTGGAGGAACTTACAAATGTGGAAGGCTGAGAGCAAGACCTCAGCAGTGGGGAACTCCATGGTCAGGGTGGGCAGCAGGAGGAAGTGGGGATCTACCAGGATGGTACAGACTCGTTCCCAGGCTGGGTTAAACTTTTTGAACACCTGGAACATCTGGGCCAGGCCTTTGGCATCTTCATTGGTAGGGATAGCAAAGAACACTGTTCGGGCCAGAGGCCCCTCAAGCTGTACGCGGGGTCCATCTACCAGGAAGGTGTATAACACCTTGCCTCTTGGGTTATAGGTTCGGTGTATAAATAGGACTTCAGGGAAATGAGCAAAGAGGTCTTGCATGAAGCAGCTTTGGTAGTTGAAGGTATCCAGCTGAGGAGTCTTGCTAATCTGGTGTAGCAGTGTAGGTGGGCTTGAGTCCTCAATAAGAAGTCCATTCAGCATGGTGAGGGCCATGGAGGAGCTGGGAGGCATTAAGTTTCTCAGTTGACATGTAATTCGATGCTGAAGCTAGACTGTAGTTTTAGGTTCTGTTCCAGATGGGCCTATGGAAAAGAAGAGACACTCAAAGCAATAAGGACCTAGCTCTTCAATCATTTATCCAGACAATCATTCAGTATTTATGAAACATCTAATATGTATCTTCTAGGGTACATATAACAAGTACATAAGGACACACTGGATAATGGTCAATAAAGCCAAAAAAGAAAAGTGAGTCGGAGAGTATGCTGGGAAGGCAGCCTACGTCAGTTCAAGCAGGAAGATCTCTCTAGGGGAAATTACCCTGGGTATGAGATGCAAGGACAACCCAGCCATAGAAACACATGGTTCCCAGGGACTGGAAGCCAGGTGTGGTGGCGCTACTTGTGATCCAGGCTCTCTAAACGGCTGAGGCAGAAGTCTGCCTGGATCAGTTTAAGACCAGCACAGGCAATTTAGGGAGAACCTGTTTCAAAACACAAAACTAACAACAACACACAGTCACACACACCAAGCCCCCAAGCCCCCAACCAAACAAAGGACTGGGCAGTTTGTTGTGGTAGCACACACCTGTAATCCCAGCACTTGGGAGGTTGAGGCAGCCGGGTCACCTCAAGGTCATCTTGGACTATATAAGATCCTGTCTTAAAGACAAAGACTCAGGGTTGGGGGATATACCTCACTGGCAGTACAGGATTTGAAAACATGGCCTTTATTCTTTTTATACAAGGATACTGCTGTGTAGACGTGGCAGCCCACCGCAATCCTCTCACCTAAGTAAGCTTCCTGAGTCCTGGGATTCACACATGGCTCACCACATACAATTCTTTTTAAAAATATCATTCTAAATATTTGTATAGCCTTTATGTTCACAAATTCTTGTAATTCTTACAAACTCTTTTGGTCCTGATATATATTAGGAAAAAAGGAATTGCTCAAAACTTGCTGTGAAATATTGGGCAAGCCAGTAGCCCCATCTCAAGCTGAATTCCTTTCGCTATAAACCGGGGCTAACAGTTGAGTGTAGCTTCTCCTGTTTCTACGCGTATCCCGACTGGCTGCAATGCTTTATGTAAATGTTTCCTGTTTGGCTTCATTTACTATCCCCATTTCGCACTTGAAAGCCTCAGGTCCAAAGGCGTAGGCCATTTGTCCCACCCTTAAGATAACTGGAGTCTTTGGCTCCAGATCCTGATGGCATCCTACAGGGTCCAAAAATGTGGACCGGGAAGGGAAGGCGGCCTCTGACCTCACCTGATCCCGGGTGTGGGACGCGGAAGGGTGACGTTCACGTTCAAGTCCAGCGGAGCCGAAATCCACCTCCCACTGGTGGGAGCTGTATGCCCTAAACGCTGCAACCCGGCTCCACGCCTCCACTGCTGAGACCGCTCATCCACCGGCAGACGGCAGACGGCAGACGCGGCAGCCATTTCTCCCACTGGGCCCGCCTCCGACTGACTGACGTCCAGGCTCGCCAATCACCACGCCAGCTTTTCAATGACTCAGGCCAAAGGCCTAAGGAGCTCGCTGTCGAACTTGGGAGCTACGGACCAATCCTGGACTGCTTGCTCCAGGGCGGGCGCTGTTGTCAGGGATACGGAGGCTCGGCCGGAGATAACCAATGAGAACCTGTGAAAGGATGTTCGCCTCGGGAACACCAAGGCGGAGCCTCCCGTCGGTCTGGAGGGCTGGAGAGACCGCACCTTTCAAAGGCCGAAACGGAAAATAAAGAGCAGTGTTTTACACGGGGACCTTTTGTTTGTTGGGTACGGAACTGTGAAGCTCCGAAGACACAGATAGGAAAAGGTGCAAAGGTCGTACTTCGTTCTCAGCCTTGTGGAGAAACTGAGGCCTGTGATTCCAGCTATCCTGGGCTGAGGTAGAAGGAATGGGTTTGAAGCTAGCCTTGGCAAATCTGGTAAGACAGTCTTAAAAAAAACTGGGTGTGGTGGTGCACGCCTTTAATCACAGAACTCGGGAAGCGGAAGCCAGCCTGGTCTACAAATCAAGTTCCAGGCTAGGCCTCTCTCAAAAATAATTTAAGGCCGGGCGGTGGTGGCGCACGCCTTAAATCCCAGCACTCGGGAGGCAGAGGCAGGCGGATCTCTGTGAGTTCGAGGCCGGGCTGGACCGACAGCCTCCAAAACAATACAGAGAAACCCTGTCTCGAAAAACAAAAAATAATTAAGTTAGGAATTTGCCCACAGCGTCCCAGAAATGACTTGCAGTAAAATCTAGGATTTGGGTCCCTTCCCTTCGGGTCCTCGTGCCCCTTTCTAGAACAGAATGAACAAGGCAACCTAACGTCAATGTTGCAGGCTTAGTTGGTAGGAAGAGGGCGAAGTGGGACTACATTACTCGCCCTGAATGTGAAGCTCCAGGTTCTATTTGGCACCACGCCCCATTAGACAATACTCAAGCTTCCTTTAAAAACCAGAACATATGCCAGGCAGTGGTAGCCACGCCTTTAATCCCAGCACTCGGGAGGCAGAGGCAGGCGGATCTCTGTGAGTTCGAGGCTGGGCTGGACCCTGGACTGACAGCCTCCAAACAATAGAGAAACCCTGTCTCGTAAAACCAAAAAAAAAAAAAAAAAAACAAAAAACATTTGAGGTCAGCCTGGGCTACATGAGATCCCGTTCCAGAAAACACAAAAGTGAAACAAAAACAAAACAAACTTTATTAATGTGAGTAAAAATACATAACGTATTTTCTAAAGAGCAGCTTCAGTCGATGACCACCTCCTTCCCTCAAGTCTCTTTCCAGACTCACTTTGTTTTATCTTATCCTGGGCAAGGGTTCATCTCTGTAGGGTCAAATCAATTTGACCTCTGGGACTGGGGAGGAAAGGGGCGTGACCTTTCAGTATGGAGTAACTTTGGCTTTGAACAATGAATGAGCTGTCTATAGAATGCCAAATGATGGGGCAGGCTCCAAAGATGTCACAGTGGGGTTCCCATCCCCCCACTTTTAAGATCTTCTTAGCCCTTACCTAGGAAGACACTGATTAAAATACTGACCTACAGTGTGACCCACCCACTTTGAACTCTCAGACTTCCAAGGTTTTGAGACACAGTGCCCTAGTACAAACACTTCAGTCATGAACCATGGCTTCAGCAAGAGGAAAGCTGTCCCCCTCCTCTAGCTGTCCCCAGAGGAAAGGGAGGCATCCCACATCATTGAAGTCAACTGGCTGCTGACTGGACTCGGGTAGCTCATAGGGGTCGGCCCAGATGTCCACGATTTTGCGCAGGGTGGAACAGCGCTCCTCCAGTTCTGGCCCCTCAGTCTGCATTAGCAGGTTAGCCAGCTCCCTGCTTAGGTCCTGAATCATGTGGTTCTGCCCTTGCTTTTCAGGCTGGTCTGTGTTGGGGATTATTCCACGGTCTTGAAGCTCCCCATTGGGTCCAAGGAGGTGCTGGTACTTCTTCTGCCACCGGCAGCACACCATGGCTTCTCCTACCGGCTGCTGGCTGGTATGCAATAAGGCCAAAATGTGCCGGCACGGCAGGTGGTAGCACTGTTGGAAGGAGCAGCTGCAGCTACAGCCATCTTTGCTCACCTGGTGTGAGTCTTCCAGTAGTTTAACAGCTACCGAGGAGCCAGCCACGTCCACCAGGTGGGTGGAATTCTGTACCACTTCCCACTCATTATGACACAGCTTGTAGGCTAGTTCAGAGCCGCTTTGGTGCAAAATGTCTAGCATGCCACTCTTGCAGGGTTGATCCTGGGGCTGTAGCAATTGAGGCTGCTGCGAGTCTGACTTGGTCTCTTCCACAGGGAGCCTGGCGACATTCCCTCTGCAAGTTCTGAAAGGCTTCTTGGGCCTTGGTGGCATGCTTGGGAGCTGAGTTCTTTTTAACTTGGGGGAATTTGTGGGCAAGCTCTTGAGACCTTTGGTATTGAAGAAGTCTATATAATCCACAAAGTGAAGGATGCAGTCTAGTAGGGACTGCTGCTCCCGAAAGAGGCTTGACACCTTACTGGTGACTATGTCCAAGCTGTCCATGTATGTGTTACACGCATGCAGGCCCTTTCTCACATGCATGTACCACAGCAGTTCACAGGAGAACCAATGGGCCTGGAGGAACCTGAAGAGCTCCTCATCCAGTAGGGCTTGGGACATCTGACAGAGACTTTTTAGGCTTGCATCAGAAGAGACAAACACAGCCTCCCGAAGAGCTTCCTTCATGAGCCTTTTAAAAGAGGCGTTGGCAGAGCTTTGATGTAACTTCTTCTCCAAGAGTCGAGTTGTATGATAGATAGAAAGGAGGATACGGGCAGCGGGGAAGATCTCCTGAAGAATAGCTTGGTGAGGGAATGAAGGATCCACAAAGACCACCTTGACCTTGGACCAATCAGAGTTGAATTCTGTGAAGATACTGAGCATCTTGGCCACAGAGGGGGCTGTCTCCGCCTTGAGCACAGCGAAGTGTACCACTCGACTCTCTCGCTCTTTGTTCTCCACCAAGAAGGCATACAGAATATGGCCCTGGCTATTCTCCACCCGGTGTAGCAAGAGATTCTCTGGGAATCGGGTGAACAAGTCACTCATCTTGCTGCTCTGGAAGCTGAGTCGGTCCAGGTCTTGGCTGGTCCCCACACTGAAGGAGGCCATTGAGCCCTCATCTACTGTAAGGAAGTTTTTCATCACTTTTGCTATCTTGGCCAGATCGGAAGGACTGAGGCCCTTCTGCTCTGCATGTGAGGCCAGGGGTGTCTTCTCTAGGCAGAAGGAAGATGGTTCCACTGGGGGCTTTTCTGCTGCGTCAAGGTCCTCCTTGATGCTGAGCTGCACCGGCTGGAGTTTATGCAGACATAATGCCTTCTGCAGTTTGCTGGCAGGGGCTCCTCCAGCAGTGTTAGAATCAACATGTATGTGCTGGGTATTCAGTTCACTGATAAACAGTCTATCTAATCTCTCGTTGTACTGCAGAAGCAAGTATGCTGGGCACCTGTCCACCTTCCGTGTTCTCTTCCTGTTTGACTGCGTCCGAATACAGACAAATTTCACCTGCACATATCTAGGGAAGGTAGAGGTGATAATGAGAAAAGTGATAGCTGCCCCCTTTTACTGACCATTATGTTTCCTAGAGATCACAAGGTAGTACAGAATAAAAGGAAGAAAAATTTATAGTAACTCCCTAGCCCAACGTTTTCAACTCCCTCCCTCAAGACTATTTCTATTACAACACTCCTCTGTTTCTTCCACATAGTTCTAAGGTGAACTTATCTGTTAGTGGGTTTTTAGCTTGGGGACTGGCATGGAACTCATGATATAGTCCAGGCGGGCCTTGAACTTGTTGCAACCTTCCTGGTGAAGCTTCCCATGAGCTGGGGTTATAGAGGTGAGCTATTTACTATACTGGCCTAAAGGGCCAGTTGTTTTCATTCTGTCTGCTGCCATTTGTGGCTTCCAACAATATAATCTGAGGTAGGATATAAGGAGAAGCTGACACAGCAGGGTGCCTAGCTAATTTCTCCTGTTTAAACTATCTCCATGCCTATAATCCTAGCACCTGGGAGGATATGGCAGGAGAGTTGGAAGATCCAGGGCAGTCTGGGCTATGTGGCAAGGCCTTGTCTTAAAAACAAACAAAAAACCCCAAAATTCTTCTGCGTTAATGGGACACTACTGCCTTATCCTCCTTGACAGCAACATTCTGAGGACCAGTGCTGTTCACTGAGCTGCTCAGGGTCCCCCGGAGAGAGTAAGTCAAGTGCTGGGGCTTATCTGTAGAAGAGAACATTTCTGGTTGTTCCTGTAAAGAGAAATATCCATACCCTGAGTTGCTTATATTTTGGTCTGTGATTGAGACTGAACCATAAGGAAGTCTGACCCTTGTAGCCTTAGCACTCTAGGTGGAAATGGATGATTCCAAGGGGATGGTTATCAGGTTATTTGCTCTTTTTCTTATTTCCATTCAACTCCTGGATTCAAGACCCAGTCAAATCTTCCCTTCTTTTCTCAGTCTTTATGGTTGAACCCAAGTCACAGTAATTAATCCTGAATAAGAATTTACTGTATTCAACTAAATGGTCTTACAGACCTGTAGGTATCCATACAACTGGAGGCACGCGCGTGCTTGTGTGTGTGTGTGTGTGTGTGTGTGTGTGTGTTGGGGGGGACACTGGAGGCTGAGTCAAGTCCTTTGAATCCTGGCTGTCAACGGGAAGCTGTTTAACCATGGGCAAGTCACTTCACCTCTGTGGATACAGTATGGTCATTATAAAATGAGACAACCTCATTAGGGTTATCATAAAGACTAAATGAACCACAGATGAAACATTTAGCCCAGAGCCTTGGCCTTTTGTTTATCTTAGAGCTAAAGTTAGCTGCTTTTATAGTTCCCATGCCCAAGAACATTTAGTGGGGATGTCTCCCAGTGTCAGGACCAAACCATTCCTCAGTGTATTCCTAGCTCCTAACACAATGTTGCTCCCTCAGCAGATGCCTATCAGTGATATAGTAGGTGAATGAATCACGGACCACCAGTGGGTGGGATGGGTCACACCTCTGCCTCCTCAGGGAGTGGCTCAGCTGTAAACCAAGGGAGAGGGGGAAAAAAATCTCAGCCTCTAGCATGACATGGTACAGGCCGGGGGCTCCACCTATACTTTTCCAAACACTCCAAGCCAGCTGGTCCAGTTTGCCCACCCTGTGGGGCAAGTTTAGGAAAACAGGATGTGTGAGTCTTATGAT